TCGAAGAATCAAAGAGGAAAGGTGGGGCAAGGTTGAGAAGAATACGAGATGAAGAACGAGAAGACTAGAGATGGATGAAACAGAAGAATTTGAAAAGAAAATAGGAGATGAGAGCGAAGGGAGAGGGTGGGTGAGCAGGAGAGGATAGGATAGTTCAATGAGGGGGGGGGGTAGGCAGGCGGGATTCATCTACTTCGGTGGTTGAGAAACGAAAGAATCAGAGTTGAAGAGGCAGTGAGAGGGGGGCGCGATGGTTGGAGCGCATCCTCTTACCTCAATTTCGTCTGTTTTTCAACCCCCTCAGTTTTTGCCTTTATTATTAACGGTACTAATTTCTAGGGTTTAGGTTTTTTTTTTGGTTGTATAAATAACGTAGTGCTTCAGTTTTGATGGAGCAAAGACGACGTTTATTTTCAATTTTATGACCAAAAGATGTCTTGTCAGTATCTGGAGTTTTTCAGTGAGATGTTGGACGAAAAGCACTAGTGGCTGCAGTGCCATTCCTATCGAGTTCACCTACGAAGCGCAGAGGACTAACAGGAAAAACTGGAGCTCCTTTTATTGCAGAAACAACTATTGGTGCATTAATATAGATTGTGTTGTTAGAAACGCAATCAGATTCCTTAACGCAAACATCTTCATTCAGATCAAAGGTGCATCTATTTTGGGTTATGGGTTCTGCCATTTCCACATCATGTTCACATTTACCAGGATCCGTGTTGGTTCCTACAGTTGTTAAATTATTGTCATTCTTGGGTGATGAAGCATCATCAAGATCTTCATGAGGCGATGAACCTATACCATTTTGCTTTTCATTTTCAAGTGAAGTTGTTATTGAATCATCGAGCTCACCCAACCCTGTCCGATGAACACCTGAAGATTTTCCAGATGAAGCTTTGGGTGACAAATGAAGTCAGAGCTAAATCCAAGTTTTTGTGTGCTTAGAATCTCAGTATTTGGCTTTGTTTCTGTAACTTTTGGTGCTGTCTAATAACATTTTTGTTGTTGTTTAATTGAAATATATAAGGTACTTTTTGAGGAAGTTGAAAAAAGTCAAGAAGAGCAATGGGCAAGTTCTCGCTATCAATGAGGTCACTTCTTCCCTTCCAATCTTCTCATAAATTATTGTTGTATATGAAACTCATGTAAGTAAGGTGAATTTAGTTAGACGCTTATGATTGGTAATTTATATGTTTTTTTTTAGCTCTTTTAGTTTGAAGATCATCTATGCATAGTATATGTAGATCATTTTAGTAGAAAGTCATCCATTATTATCATAGAATAGAAACTGTTAATTATATTGGTTTGATAGTGCATTATATGTTCTTTTTTGCTTTGTCTAAATGGGCAAGTTCTTTTTTGCAACTTCTTCCTTTTTGCTGAGAGAAGTCTCTGGATCAGTGATCATTCGTAGTTTGTACCCGTTACTTAACTGATCTTTAATATCAGATTTGGAATCCATTTTTCTCAAAATCTTTGGTACCACACAATCAATACTTGCAGACCTTGGCAGAGCCTCTAGGGTATCTGATGTATACGACTTGAAATCTTTGACATCAAAATTGTAGGATATAGAGTGTCCAGGTTTATGTGCATGTGAAGAAACAAACAAGCTAGAAGATGATGGAAGGTAAAAACTTTCAGTTAGCCCAGGATTGGACGTGATATCTCCCTCTGCATCTACCTCTATCTTTGTATCTTTCACGCTGTCATCTTTAAGCTTGGAAGCATCACAATGGTCGTCAACAACATCTCCTGGAGCACCTCGACTGCATTTGGCACTGGAGCCAGTGTCTGATGCAGGACATTGTGAAGAATCCTCTCTTCCAGTTACTTTCTCCTCACAAGGATTTAGAACAAGAGTAGAAGGCAACACATTCTTATCTTCTAAATTGGCATCTGCAACAGCCACAATCTGATTTTCTATTCAAGTATGTGCATTATTATGTATGTTTTGAATCATTTCCTCTCTTTTTTTGAATTTATTTTGAATTTCACCAGTGAGTAGCATGCTTTCTTTTTATCAATGGTTATATGCTTCTTATGTTGCTTATATGTTTCATCGCTTTTAACAATATTACAATGAACTAGACTACATGGGACCAACAAAAATGTCACGCATGGCGAACAAGCATACGTCTAAAGCTAGCAGAGGGTGGCCTGGTAAGGTTGTGGCAAATGCAAACAAAAGCAAGGTCAAAGTAAGTTCTTTGCCTCAACTTATGTAGGTTATAATCTTTCTATCTTCTATTTGTTGTCAGTTTTGTCTCTGTTATTGGTGACTAACAGAAGGGAGTAAAAAGAAAAAAAAAAAGAAAGAAAAAAAAAAGAAAAGGTGTTCTACTTGTGTTAATTAAAGAAGATCATGCGCTTAACTGACAAAATCGCATAATATTTCCCATAAACTATGTGTTTCAATTTCATCCAAAGTGGCAAGCTTGTTGGTTCTTTAATTAGGAAACTGGGTGTCTACTTTCTTTGCTAATGTCTTCTTGCACTATAACTTATTCTTGAATCTCATAAAAGCTTTTGTTTTCCTAAGGCATATGAATAGCTTCAACAATTGTATACTTTGGTTGCATATCGCTTGTGTCTATAAAAGTTAACTTTCTTTTTCTTTTTTCTTTTTTTGTTTTTTTTTGGGAGGGGGAGGGGGGGTTGCTAGGGTTCTGATTAGTTAATATTTTTCTTCTGTTCGACTATCTTTGGGATTCATTTTGATTTGTAATACTTATTACCTACATCTTTCTTTATCGTGACTCGGATTAAGCATCGGTCACATACAGTATTAAAGATAATATTTTTGTAGCTGGGTATTGCTTATAATTTGAAATTTTCAGAGTGATGGAATTACTTGTCACATTATGTATAGAAGTTTCATACTTTATAGTTAAACAAAAATCTCATATGTTTACAAGCTGATAGTTTCCTTTTGCAAAATGTAAATAAGTTCTAATCTAACAGATACAGAATAGGACTGAAGGATAACCTTCAAGAGGTTTGCATACACATGCTAGATAGTACTTTATTAATTATCAAGGATGAGGGTTTGGTCAAATTGTCTGGGGATGTCAACCTCATCAATCAATGTTTTGCCAAATATTTTTTGACAGGCACTTTGCCAAGTATATTAAGCACAGACGAAGTTTGTTGTCATACCACACAGACACACAACACAGACACACTCTTTATTTAGTACATATGTTATCAATGTTATTTGGTTTAACTTGAATGTTGTGACTAGATTTTGTTTAACATTTCTGTATGTTGCATAGCGGTATTACTAAAGTCGTTGGACATGTATTGCAAGTACATATTACATGTGATAGCATCTTAGACTGTAGTGTGATTCCTAATTCCTTTTAAACATGGATACAGAAAAGGAAATTGTCTGACATGTTGGATTATCGATGGAACAAGGAAGAGCTGAAACAATTCTAGTTGCATTTCGCACGTATGGTAAAAATTGGAGAAAGGTCCGGGTTCATTATCTTCAAAACATGATGTATTTTTGCATTTCGCACGTATGGTAAAAATTGGAGAAAGGTCCGGGTTCATTATCTTCAAAACATGATGTATTTCAACATAGAAAAATGTAGGGCAAGCCCGATGAAAGGTCCGGGTTCATTATCTTCAAAACATGATGTATTTCAACATAGAAAAATGTAGGGCAAGCCCGATGTTATGGTGTTCACTCACCCAAGATACGGATATTTGCAAAATGATACAATGAGAGTCTTAGCAAAACAAACTCAACCCTTTAACCGACTCTCATAGTCGTCTATCGGCCTTAGGGGAAGGAGAGCCCTAGTCAACTCTCAAAAGTTCTAGGCATTTGATTCCTTAGTTGAATTACAAGCCCTTGGCTCTTTATCAAGGTAAGCCCAATGCACGACAGATGGTCGAATCCTC